TAAAATAAGCGAATATATATTTTTTCTTCTTATACATTTAATTGTAACAACAGCTATAATTAAAGCAGACATGAGTGCTATGGGGACATTCTTTTTACTCACCCTCATCTTTAAATATAATTAAAATAAAAAATTAATAAACAAAACAAAACATTTGAGTCTTTAGTTTTTTTTTTGAAATTTATTTACCTCCTGTTGGATGTTTATCACCAGCACCTGCTTTTTTTGGAAAAAGAAAACGAGATATTTGTCCATCACCTTCATCTGTTGCTAACCATTTATAACATGGAAATTCATATATGCGATTTTCAGCAAGATCTTCAATAATTATACGATCTAAGAACCAACCCGGTGCTGAACCTTTATTATTATGTGCAATTAGAATTTGATTTATTTCGCCAACACTTGGACATTCAATTGTAAATTCATCTTTTCTATTGAAGAAAAAAAGAATAAAAGAGAATATTTAAATCATATACAAAAGAAGTATCGTCATATTTACTGTCCAGATTCAAAATTATTTTTTTTATCATCAAGTACAATAGCACCTGATTCACCTAAATCACCATAAAGAGTAATAAATACATCAGCATCAGTTCCAGCTCCGAGTTTATTTCCGGTATAGACCGTTATCTTATATTTATTATCTAAAAGACAAAAGTGAACCTATATAAAAACAGATTTAAATTCAATTTATTTTTCTTACTTCCTCTTCCTCTATTTATATCTTTATATAATATAAGATCTCGAGATATTTGTCCATCACCTTCATCTTTACTTAACCATTTCTTACAATTCGCAAAATATTTTGTTGTTGGATCGAACATATCTATTACAACAATCTAATTAAATAAGAGAAAAAAGTTATTTGACATAGAACAAAACAAAGAAAAAGAAAATCATCTTCGTACTCGATCAAGAAACCATCCAGCAAATCGACCTGTATTATCATGTTCAACACGAAGTTTAACTAATTCTCCAATATAATCACCTTTAACACGAAATTCATCTGTTTGATTACGTTCAAATGGATTATTGTTATTAGCTGATTTTTTTAAATGAAGTTTTTCTGTACGTTGTCCATCATCTCCAAATAATGTTACATAAACTTGACTATCTGTACCAGCACCTCGTTTATCACCTGTAATAACAGTAATATGATATTCTAAAAGAGAAAACAAATATTCAATTGAATTGTCGATTTTATTGTTTTACGGGTCTCTTTTGGTGTAAATCTATTTTTAAGACCATCAAATGCATGATCACCAGGAAAAAGTTCTATCGATAAAGAACCATCACCAGGTGGAAATAATGATAACCATTTATTACATGGAAAAAAGTACGAGCGACCAGTACGAACATTTGTTATTAAAACAAATTCACATAACCAACTTTGTTCAAGTAAAAGACCCGTATGCTAAGAAAAAAAAAAGAAAATTATAGAGATTGTTTTTAGAAAATAAGACTGTTTGGTTTTACTTCAAGAATAATATAATGAATAACACCAAGATCTCTACAACGAATATAAACAACATCTGTAGCTCCACGTCTATATTCAATATTATATAAATCATTATCATAAGTTTTATCAAGACCATTTAATGATAATGAAAGTTGAGTTTGACCACGTAACATTGTTTCACGTGTTAATAATTTTCGACAAATTTTATCTTTACTTCCAAATATACTTAAAAATACTTTTGCGTTTGTTCCAGCATCTTTAACATTAGCTGTTTTAACTGTTATTCGATAAAGTGCATCTGATCGAGTTGAACGTTTCCTTGATGATTTTGGTCGTCGACCAAATTTTTTGGCATAATAGTCTTGCATATGTGGATCATCAAGAGAATTATATCTAGGAATATATGCTGATGTTCCTCGACCTAATTCGAAAGAAATTAAATGAAATAGTTCAAATTTTAAATGATTTACTTGGTCGATATTGTTCGAGAATAAATGGATCTCGAATAGCTACTATAAAAATAAGATAATAGATGAAGATATGTATATTCAAAAATAGATACCTTGTGATTGATGTTGTTGTTTTCTTTGTTGCTCAACTGGTATATTGATAATCGAAGGTTTTGCAATTACAAGAGGTACCAGTTGATAAGAAGATGTTGATTTTGGTGGGGGTCGTGGTGGCGGCTGTGGTAGGGGTGCTGAATAAAAATGATTATAATCGTTATTATGATTATGATTATGATGAGCAATAACAACTGAATTTGAGCCATAACCAACAATATGTTGAAGGCTGCCTGAATTTGTATACACATCCATGGCTTTATTATGAATGCGATATCTATTATCTGAAACAAAAATTCAAACCATTGTGAGTCAAGTGGAATTACGTATAAATTTTGAAAGTTTATATGTTGTCGTTCAATAAACCACCTACAGCAAACGTATAGTATACACTAAAAACTGAGAGGAAACGTACAGGAAACAAAAGAAAAAAAGAGAAAGAAAGAAAAAAAAAACAAATTTCCATAGTTGTCAATGAGTTACCATTGTCAATGTTTAAAACGATGGTAATACCTTTTTTTTTATCTCTATGAATACAGATTATTTATCGAAAGATGGCATAAGTTACCTCTCAAGAAAAATTACAACATTTTCTTGATCGAACAAATATTTTACTTTTCATTAACTACGAAAACAATTTTTTTTCTCTCATTTATTTGTAATTGTATTCATTTCTTTTCTTAAAAACTTATCGAAAATTTTCAATAAAACATAAAAACGAATTTGTGATGAACATGAAATTTTAGTTTATACAAAAACTGATATAAATCAAATTTATATTACTTAAATATTCCTAATGAAACATTGCTGAACAAAATTGCTGGATAGAGTCAGTCGGATCCAAAAATTTCAGACCTGAACCAGATTCAACCGTAGTTTAATACTTTCAATGAAACTTTCTAATTGGCATCGGATAGTCGTCGCCTCGACGATGCAAGGTATTTTTTTCTGTTTTTTTTTGTATCCAGTGACTAGTGCACCCTGCATATTTCTCAGATGACTCGTTTGAATTATGGATAGTGTAGAGCTCATCAGGTCTGAATCCGAGAACAACTTGACGGAGCTCTATTGTCGGCACAAAAGTGAAGTGGGGTGTCAAATGATTCGAGAAATAGGAATCAGATCTACTATTTCTTTATAGAGTATTTGTGTTTATTTGAAGTTGCTTTAGATTATAGAAATTCATTATTTCGCTTGTATGCCAATTATTCTTCTTTATACTATTATTATTGTAAGTGAACAAAATTTAAATAGTAAAATTTTTTATAAATTCTTTGCTTCTAAAAGAAAATCTGATGTATTCATCATATTCTGGTATGTCATTTTTTATCATTTCACTTTTCAGAAATCTTTGTTTAATAATGTATAAGATTTTTCACAAGAATGATTTTGTTTCCAAGTGTATAGTCTCAATTTTGCACATAGGTTTCATCACATATTTTTCACCATTGTTTGATCAAATTGTTGCAGTAGACAAAATAAATAGAAATTGAATTTATAGAAAAATGAAAAAAGATAGCCTTTATTTGGTTGAATTAGCATTTCATGTCCTTGTTTAATTTATTCAATCGACACCAAAATTATTCAACGAGGTTTCTTTTCAATTTTTTTTCCGTTGACTTTAGCCCTCAAAAAAAGTCAAATTATGATTCAAGTATGAAAAAATATTTCCAACAAGAATATAATAAAATAAGAATTGTTATCAGATTCTCAATGACATAATTTCCAGAAAACCTAAACTTCAGATTTTCGAAATGGTAAATGCATACATATAATCTTGTTTAGACTACATGGAATGGTAGAATAAATAATGCTCTACAAAATCAGCCGTCTTCCAGTTCTCTATGACAAGATTTTGACGAGATACAGCAATACGATGATTGCTGATAAAGTCAAACTTTCAATCTTTTTCTGTATCTCAACAGAAAAACATCGTAGAGATCTCGAAGATATCGTATTTTATAGAGAGCTGTTTTCGCTAATGACTCTGTGTAGTCTAAATGAAATTATATTTATACATTCTAGACTCTGACAACTTAGACTTTTGGTTTTATAAGGATTCTGTCTTGGAAAATCTGATAATAATTTTTTTTCATTTTCTTCAATTCTTATTGGAGACAATTTTCTCTACTTGAACTTATTTTTCTAGCGCTCAAGTAAATGGAAAAGAAACAAGTCTTATTGAATAATTTTAATATTTACTATATATATCGTGATGAATGCATAGCCATAAAAAAAAGGATTATGTTCGTATGAAATATAAATAATCTTTATCGAACTATGAAAAACCCATTTCTTAGTCTTACAAAACTTTTATTTTAATAAGTAAGTCAATGTCAAGGAATAGTTATTCTTTCATTTTAATTGCTATGCTTTTTAAAATAATCACAAAAAAAAGAGTAATTTTAGATATAAGTGTTTACAAATGATGATATTTTAAAATTTAGAATTTGAAGTTTTAAATAAATACTTGATCTTCTTTTTAATGGATGTTATAATCGTTGTATGATTGTCTTTAACAGCCATAAGAATGAAATTTAACAAAAACATTCATCACTATCTTTAAAACCATCTAAGGAATACCTATATATATATAATGATTTTCTTGGCTTCAAATGAAAGATCAGAACAAATGTTTTTTTTTTAAATTAATCTTCTTTTTCTCGTTCTTTCTCTAAATCAACAACATAAAACGGAAAATTAGTAGTATTGCTTCATTGTGCAAGCAGTACAGTGTCAATGTAGCCGTAGTGTAGTAGAGAGCATTTTTTTTAAAGTGTCGTTCACAACAATTTTCTTTTTAGTTTGTCTTTCTTTCTCATTCAATTCTTTTTTTGTTACGACGGCGTTGTCGTCGTCGTGTGTCGCTGTTAACAACACAAACACGAAAGGCATATATTATTTTGTACGGATTACAAACAAATGGTCAACGTTTAAAATTTTGTATTTGATCATAAACGATAGTTACTGGATATATGAGTCAAGTTCAAATTAGACAAGTATCATTAGCCACATCAACTGATGCCCAAAGAGTTGTTGGTTCATGGGTAAGAAATCATATCTAAACACATATTTGATCGTAGTTTTTTAATTATTAATTATATTTATTGATTCCAGTTTCCATCTGGTTATTATGGGCATTTTAGAGCTAGATCACGTGCTGATTTATGCAATTATTTTCGTCAATTAGCTCGACCTACTCCACCTAAAAAATTTCTCGATCGACAAAAAGTAAAATAATTTTCTTTCGTTTATTTTTTTTTTTTTATAAAGTTTTTCCTTTAATTCTAGGCTGAAGCAACTACTCATGCATTTTCTCGACATGATAATCGTTTTAAATTTGAAAGTGACCCACTTGTTCGTGGTACACAAACGGTAAAAGAAAATAAAACAAATATATATTTATCAAATTTAATCTAATATTTAAAAATTGTTCATCTAAAGGGTTTCGGTAAACGAAAGGCTCAAACTAATATACGCGGCGAATTCGATCCATTATTTGTTAGTTGGATACCAAAAAACGTTGATCCTAAAGCATTTGTTGATGATGTTAAAATAACATCATATGCTGATGAGTATAATCATGATGCAACTGCACCACATATACTAGCTGAAGTTCAATTAGTACAACCAATAATTAATGATAATGAAAAAGCCGCAACATTACCATCATCTCCGCCAGAAATAACTGTTTATGCAAGCACATATAGACATGGTCAACCTGATCCTGAACAATCAAAACAAATTCGTCGAGAAACATTTGAACGATTTTTAACAACACGTACACGTCTTGTAGAACAACAACGTAATCAACGTAGTACAAGTGTTGCATCATGTCTTGTATGGAATAATATACATGATGATAAGAAACCTCCTATATCAAATGATAAAATGATTAATATTGTCGTACCTATTTCATTACAACCTCGTGTTATTCCGAATAATAATAACTATAATACAACGTCTCGTCAACGTGCACAAAGTGCTGGACCTCGTCTTATGTCGACTGGATCTGATCAACCACCACTAAAAACATTTCCAAGTCATTCAATGCAAACAGTGAAAACCACAATGACAACATTAGAACGACCACATACAGCTACGACAACATCACGTGAACATTATACAGGAGGAAATTTCGGTCTTAGAGTAGCACCACCTCCGAGAGCAGCTACAGCATTTGAAAAAACTCCTACGAATAGTATGGATAGTCTTGTTTCAAAATATATGTAAAAAAAAAACGAACATATTTTTAAATAAATCAATAAACATAAATAAGATGACTTGTCTTTTATTTTAAAAATTCTTAATATCTGGGCTTTTTTTTTCATAGAAAATAAAAGAAATCACAAGTGATGGTTGTTGTCAATGCTTTGATTATTCGCTTTAGTGGAAGGTTAAAAAATAAACATTGTTTTTTCATTTATATGTTTACCTTTTGAAAAAAGACATTTGACAGAAAAAAAGAATTTTTCATCTATGCAAAATATGTGTTTATATCATAATTAAAACATAAACTAAATCAAATATAATGAATAATAATATATGAGCTTATAAATTAATTCAGAATAATGATACCAAAAACAAAATGTTCTTATTAATTTGTTTGTATTTTCCTTTTTTTTTCTTGTTTTTGACGTGTGCAATGTTATTATTTTTAAGTGATTCAAAAAAATGTGTGTTCGTTTACGAGAAAGAGTCAGTGATTAGATTAAATATGATTAGTGGTGCACTAATGGGATTAAAATTATTTCTTTACGTGACAAAAGTTCTCAAATTTGTACTGATTTTATGATTCCAGAATCTTGTATTATTATGACAGCAGATAGTAAATCACTACTATCAATAATATCGAATATAATTTTTGTTGTAATTACAAAATTATTAATAGAAATTAGTTATATACGATTTAATAATTCGAATATATGAACGTCCGAATTTTTAATCAACAAGAATGGCAAATGATGTAGATGTTTGACATTTCTTTTCAATGGTAGATATTACTGACTTGAATGTATTTTAATAGTAATTCAATAGGTAGAACAAAGTAAAATGAATGAAAATATTCTTATAAAATTCAACAAACTTTGTGTAGTTATTATTCTAACATTTAATAGTCATTTACCTGAGTTCATGTTTGTATTCCGTAATTTTATAATATGATTTTGTGTTGTAGTAAGTAATTGATGAAAAATGTACGGATTCTTTGATTATGTGTAAAGTTTATTTTGTTTAGAAGTTAGAAAACTGTCGATCTAAATTCTTGTTGTGGAAGCAATGAATAGATCATGAATAATATTTATTAGTAATCGTTGGTTATTAATGAGTATCAGTTCAAAAAATTATGGATGTAGCTAATATGCTTTTGTTTGTATATTCCTATATGTTTCTATTTTCATTGATTATATTCAATGCATTATTAACAATGAATAAACAAATAAAAAAAGTCTGAATGAATAATCATATTTGAATGAGTCATTTATAAAGAAGTTAGGTTTTATGTGACAAGTCTATTCTCAATGTTGACGGAAAAAGACTAAAAGAAAAAATTGAAACATTAATTATTTAAAAATAATTTAACTTTGTATCTTTTTTTGAAATTTTAATGAAATGATTTTTCTCATCAAAATTTCAATTTTATTATAATAAACGTTCAAATACCATTGAAAATCTTTTATTTAGTTTTTGATATTGAACAATAACATTTGATTTCTTCTAAACAATGTAAAAGTCAAAGTACTTTAGTGCATTCATCAATATTTATACTACTATATCGACGATGAGATAGATGAATAAAGGTACTCATTTGACTCCATATTCATATCATCAACCTCGAAGTAGTTATACAAAGATTAGTACATAGACAAAAATATTTTCATTTGTAAATTGTTTTATGAAATTAAAACATGCTATCCATTAACAAAACTAAGTCATTTCATGCAAATTTGTTAATGTGAATTGAGTCAAATTCTACTTTTGTTCTATTTAATGTCCTAGACAAGTTCGATTTTTCGTACCTGGACCTAAATCGAAGCTAGTCGACCTCCGGCTGATACTTGCACAGGCATAGTAAAATTTTCAAACTTTTATTCGATACGAAAAAGTATATTGTTTAGCTTCCTCCATAAACAGCAACAAAAAAAAACAATCTTCTCAAGTTCTATAAAAAAAAAAGTAAGTGATTCTGGATTCACTTGGTGTCTTTCTCCTTGTAAAATTCGTTCGATTTTGTTAAGTATACGTTTGCTACTTGTTGATGAAGTTGAAATGGAAAGGATTGTTGGTGTCAAACATCAAAATTGGATATAAATAGATAAATGCCTCTTCTATCACAATAACAATTGCCGAGTATGATCTCAAACTTGGGTCCGAACTCAATCCAGGGACTTTACATCGGGATCTATGTTCCAAGTCGGAGTGGCTGCCGGATATTCAATAAAATTCAATTTCTGCCCTAGAAACTTTAAAATTTGCCCATATTCCAACTTCATTACAATATTTATACGGATATTTACTCGCTGATGCTAAACATTAATTTTCTGGAAACCAAAACGGGAATTATAATTTTTTTTAGTAAAAAAATAAAACTTCATTCAAACTTTCGATATGCCCTTAGTTATTATAAACGTCCTTTGCTGTTCAAGTATATTGTGTGTGCGCATGAATAGTTGCATTCATCTATGTAAATAATTATAGTAATAACCGTACTTTGAATACACTACCTGAAGAATTAAAAGTTTCTGAGAGAAAATATCTTCACAGAGACTTGTGTAACCTAAGAATTTGATTCGATAAAATATTAGTTTTACATCACAAAAATATTTGAAAAAATAGAATTTCATATTTCAAAATATATCACAATCAAAAATTACTTGATTCAAACACAAAAGAAAATCAATTGTCATCAAAATTAGAAAAAAAAAATCATTGATTTTTTACGAAGAAATAAAATTATTGCGGCAATGGTTTCAATGGTGAACACCAATAAACATCAGTAAAATAATTTAAATCAAATTCTTCTAAACCTTGAATTTCTTCAACATTCTCTGAAATTTTTTGAATTTGCTCAATGATTTCTTTTTGTTGTTCTGATGATATTGCTGCAATAAAGCTTATTGATAACAATCGATTTATAGCTAAATCACGTGTTACACGCTGTTTATGAGAAAATTGTTTATGTTGTAAGGAAGAAAATAAATTTTCATCATCAAAAACTTTTCTCCATTCCATTGTTTCATAACGTGGTGTTTCCTTTGATCGAAACGAATCAACATATTCCGATATGTTTTTTGCCCATGGCCTTTCTCGATTATCTGCTAAATTCCAAACAAGTATAAGTAAACCATCTGGTTTTAAAACTCGATTTAATTCAATAAGTGCATGATAATTTGCAAACCAATGAAATGATTGTCCACATAGAATTATATCAATTGTATTATCTTCAAATGGTATATGTTCAGCTGTTGCATCAATTATTTTAGTAATTAAAGGAATGTTTTTAAGATTTTCCCGCATTTTTGATACTGGTTCAATAGCAATTATTTCTCGAGCATCGATCGGACCTAATAAACGTGTTAATTTTCCTGTACCAGCACCAAGATCAATAATTTTATTTGGTTTATTATGAAGTGATTTAATCAAATCAATAACTTCATTTGGATATGATGGTCGAGTTTGTTCATAAATTGTTGCTGCTTGTTCAAAGCCTTGAGCGGCAACAATGTTTACATCATTTTTAGTCATCATTCATTACGTGATAGTTTTCTTTCTAAATGAATAAAATGAACAAAGCTATCATTGGACACTTGTATATTATTCTCATTTCATTCTATGCAATGTCACTAATGTTTGATTTCGATATATACACTCATATATATATTGTATGCATCACTTTGTAACGCATCATTGAGTTTTTACGATACAAAACAGAATGAGAGAGGAAAAAAATCTGTCTTTTCTCTTGTGTTACGTCTTGTAAAGAGATAAGTATTGTATGAAAGTAACGAACGATTAAAAACGTTGTCAATGTCTATTGCACATTCAAAAGAAAAACCTAGGTTTGCAAAGGTGAATGAATCATTTACTTTTTCTTATTTCCACTTTGAAAAACTTCTATTAATTAAATATTCTTTTGTAGTTGATTTCTTATCGATGTCTGGTAGTTTGTTTTTGCATTCTATGTATTAGTATTGCATTACTCTGTATATTGCCATACAAATCATTACTAGCTAAAGATTCACCTAAATTTTTACGATTATTGACTTCCTCTAAAAGAACAATAACAACAGAAGTTATTGTTGAAGAACGAGTTGAAACAACATCAAAACAATATGCATTTGTATCTTGTTCAATTCATTCAACAATTGAAGCTTATTGTTTTTATATGCCTATGGTAACACTTGCATGGCGTCGACTAGGTTATGAAGTAATTGTTATATTAGTTGGTGATTTTATTAATTTAAATAACACAAAACCTGATGATATTCAACTTGTTATAAAGTATGTTCATGCATTTGGTGGTAAAACATTAGAATTTCAATCTCCACAAGATTATGCTATGAAAATCTCACAAACTATACGTTTATTTATTGGATTTTTACCATTAAATTTTGTTAATGATGATGATTATTTTATAATAACTGATTCAGATCTATTACCATTACATCGTGAACAATATATGTTAGAAAAAGGTTATCCAGATGGTTTTATTGTTAACCGTTATTGTTGTGGATTTTTTTTTCGACGAAATCGTTCATATCATATGATACCAATGGGTCATTTATATATGAAAAGATATTTATGGCGTGAAATTATTCTTCAATCAATTATACAAAAAGAATTAATTACTATTAGTCAAAATTTTTATCAATATACAAATGGATCTCATGAATATGAAATAATAAAAAGATATAAAAAAAAAAGATTTGATTCATTATTATTAACCAAAGATAAAATAATAACATATGATATAATGTCACTTTATTTACGGCAAGAATTTCGTCAAACATATGATGAAAGAACAGTAAAAGGTGGTACCGGATGGGATATGGATCAAGTATTAATAACAATGCTTTTATTTGATTATCTAAATTCGACAACAGATGGACAAAAATTAAAAATTCATGAACGAGGATTACTAGTATGTCAAAAATTCATTAATGTATAAATTTTTTTATTTTTTTTTCTTAGGGACGTCTTGATCGATCAGTACCATTTTTACAATGGTCTACAAGATCTAATTTTTCGGAGTTTGGTGATGCACATATAACGCATAATATATTCGAAAAAAAGTTTTGGTATACACATCTACGTTTATTTAAATCATTGTTTAATGAAACTTGTGTTAAGCTTTTGAATGAGTATTATAAAAGTTATCTTCTTTTACGACTGATCTAAATATTTGAAAAAAAACAAATGCAAGACGATCAATACGCCAAGAACAAAACAAGATTAGAGTTAATATTGAACTTCATGTTTTGTTTTGTTGAATTAGATTATTATAAATTTTTCGTCTATAAAAAAAAAAGAATATTACATTCATTCTTTAGATGCTCTCTTGATTAATTTAATGAACCTTAGTAGTGTAAAAAATTTATCCTCGATCTGGTCCCTTTCCTTTTAGCTGCATCCACTATCTAGAAATTGGAAATTCCATAGCAATTCAAATGAAATTCATGACAATCTACAACTAGAGTGGTTTGAAACATTGTCGCACCCTTCCACATTATGAAGCTACAAAGACTGGCATATATAACCGCAATGTGGATGCACAAAAACTTAAATTCCACTTGATTTCTAATTTCTGGTCGGTTAATATATGTTCATGGAAGTGCTTATTATTAACCTCGATATTTAACTACAAGTGCATTACTCAGGGCTGTCGCGACCGGGGGGGACGGGGGTGACCTCCCCAATCTTCGGAAATTTTGTTTTTTTTGCCGGATGGTTTTTAAAAATTCTTATTAAATTTCCAACATTTTTTTCAAAATGCCGATAATTTATAGAAGTTTTTGACAAATATTCGAAAAATTTTTCGACCCCCCCTCAATCTTTAACCCCTCGCGACAGCCCTGGCATTACTATGTTTAGTTGTGAATTGCATGTTACGTATTGTTCGCTTTTCGTGTTCAATATGTGTATTTTAGCAATGATCGTTGACACAATTATTACTTCTTTCGCCGATTGCAACTTTATCGGTTGTGTGTTTCTACAATCTCAATATCGTTGAATAAATTTCTCAGCGAAAAAAATTCAGATCAAATATGATCCATTCTATACATAACCTTTTATTAAGATTATTTAGTTTATTATCAAACTGATTGATTCCCATCTGATTTGATAACCAAGGTGTGAATGTGGGTATGAAAGTATGTGTACGAGTGAGTTTGGATATAGGTATTTCCCTCATCACACTGACTCCCACACTTATATCCGATTGGGTAACCAAGTCCAATGATTATCAATCAGTTGAATAAGTAACCTAATTAATTCAAATTAAATGTTTTGTATAGAATGGCTTGTATTTGAGCTAGATTCTTTTCGATTATGAATTCATTAGGCGAAAATGGACTGATTCGTTGACACACCATTTAATTTAAGCCGGATTATTACATGGATTCTTTTCAACCGATAATCATTCGAGACTAGAATTCTTTAAATGATGATAAGTGCAGATTTATCATTTCGGCAAGAAACCAAAATGGGACTACTCATATTACTAACAGTGTCAGTAACATAATTCATTCGATGTTTTAAAAAATTTGTTCTCATGAAAAAATTAATAAAGAAGAAAAAAATCTTTCTAGAATATGTTTGACATAATCGTACAGTTAGATTAAACATATCATTCTTTAATATATGCATTAAAAAGAAACTTTGAATGATGAAATAGATATATTCAATCGATGTAATTTTATGCATTGGATAAAAAAAGCATTTATATGACATCTCTTTGATTATAATGTTCAATCGAATTGATAAAATTCATATACATCAATGATTATATCTATATCATCCTTCGAAATCATATTTTCGATGTTAAAAATAATGAAAATTATAAAGATTTATTCTTTTGTATTGTATTTTCGACTGGTTGAACATTCAAAACAACAAAGAAAATCGCATATAATTAAACTTACCTATCAGTGCTAAAAGCTGAATAATCAGATAATCTAAAACTGTCAAAAACAGCTCTCCATCAAATTAATAATTCATTCGAAAACGATCCCATTTTTTTCTAATAGATACGCACAGCATATTCTATGCTATCATTCTTATCTACATATCATCGATGTTTATGGCGGTTGAAAACCTGCCGCAGTCTTAGAGGAGGCAAGATGATTCCGACGCAATGAACAATATAAAAAATTTGCTGCTTCCACGATGATCTCCGAGAAACTCTTCGAACATCTTTTTTCGTCACTATGCTAAATTATTACAGTTAGATAGAATCCATTAGACTCATCACGATTCTGACTATTGGTCTTATAGACACTTCAATCAAATGTTAAGTCATACAATTTTACAATCTTTTAAAAAATAGAAGCTGCAACTGTTATGGTAATATTTTTGAAACATCTCGACTACACATCAAAGCTACCAACAGGTCACTGCTTTTCAGCCTGACCTTGCCTGCAGGCCAAACTAGGCGAACTAATGTTTCAGACTTTTTATTATTATGAAATTTACAAATTAGCATTAATCCATTGTATACGTTTCAATTTGTGATCCGACTTGTTTTCATGAGAGCAATAGAATGTAGTATGCCAATTCTCAACTAAGAGCATTCATGAATCAATTTTAAGATCGGTTTTATGAAAATCTTTGACACATGAATATGGACCTAAGTTCTGAAATGAAACACTTTCAAACATGTAGCCAAACAAGTAGATGTTGAAATTTATGTGGAGATATTCGAATTTTTTTGAAATAAAGTTATAACTGCGTAGATATGAAAAGTATCGATTATCTTGAATACTTGCTGACATGTAAGGTATCTTCAATCTCAAATTTGTACGAATGAGAACTTCTGAAAATTAGCTTAAAACTTTCTACTAATCTTACGGTTTGATGACTTTTATTCACACATTAATTTTACGAGCGGACAAGACTTAATTCTTCATCATTTTCATTAAACGAAACTCTGAATTCGATTCTAGTTTGGACCAGTTCTTGGAACCATGAAACTCTTTAATTGAGTAACGCGATCTTGCTTAGTATAAGATTGAATAAGTAAGAAGAATTTTAAATAGTTTTTTGGCACAAAAAGTGCTAGAAATAATTGTAGTAGTGTATCATCAAAGGAGAATATTCAAAAAGAGATTGAAAAATTCTAAATGTCCGAGAACTCAAAGTTAATAGTAACAAACACGGTCAAAAAACCTTATAAAACGTATAAAAACATTGATTTGATTTGACTTGATGATTAACAGAAAATATCAGAGGCAATCATCATCGACTCGTGAAGTCGCCTTATTCTTAGAATTGAATACTGTAAATGTTAGTATTAAATCATACTCAAGCTAAAAATTTTAGCCTGACCTGGACTGTAGACCAGGTCAAAACTTTTCTAGCCTGATCAGGCCAGGCGAAAATTTAAAAATTCAGCCTGGTCTGCTACACATTCATTATAGTGGAAATGAACGAACTATTACAGACAATTAAATCCAACATCCTTCAAAACTAAAACAAGAGTAAATATTATTTTTTCTTTTAACACTTGAAAAACCATTTCTTTAAAAATCTATTTAATTCATCACATATAACAAACTAATACAAATATATACAGGTTCTTGTTTATTTCATTTTCTTTCCAATCTCTCTTTCTTCGTTAGTAAAGCACATAATGATGACGACTGTTTAAGCAGAAAAGCACAAGGTACAAAGTAACAAAAAACAAACAGGAGCAAGAAAAAGAATAATTCAAAAGTCTACAATATGTATGAAGATAGATTGTATCTAATTGCTTGTCTTTGTTTCAATGTTATTTGTTTTTTTTTTATGATGAAGTAGAAATCAAAGAAAAATTAAAGAAACGAACGAACGAAAGACAAAACAAAACAAAAAAAAGTACAGACTTCATTAACATTTTTCTCCAGTGAATCACTGCACAAAACAACTTAATTACATGTTTATTCCTTTTTCTTGTCAAATAGACTTTCTTTTTCAATGTCGCATGGAATTATAGCATAGATACCATTTTATCCAACCGTATAGATGATAGCAGTCATCATAGCTGAAGTCTGATGTTATTTCCACACTGGAGTTCGTTCACCGTTTTCTATTAAAAAAAAAAGCAATATATATATACAATCAACATTTATGTAGAGCATCATCAGATGTTTGTCATTTATCTATGTACATGAGTTTCATTTCAGAAGATCGTTGATAGTTTTGGTCATTGAAATGAAGATCAACAAAATGCAAATCATCGAATTTTAGTGATGTGACTTTCAATAAAAAGTTTACTGACCAGATCAACATATTTTTAAGTTTTTTTTTTCTTTCTATGATATCAAGTATTAAACTAAAATCTGACTGAGATTTGAATAGCTGATGAAGTTCTCTATGAAATGTATTCCATCAACAAATTTCATGCATGGACAATGAAAGGAAGAATTCTGCTAAACCAAATGTGGTTGATTTTAGGTCCTAGAAAATTGTATAAAAATTATGTTTTCAAAGAACCATTTTTTAGAACGTAAAAGTTCGAGGAAAATGTGGAATTGCCACATTTTCTACGATCTTCCTTTACAATCTTATAAACATCACACAAAAAAATTAAGCTTTTAGCAATGCTATAACAAATTTGGCTTTGTGATGCTTATAACTTTTTAAGAGAAGTTATAGGAAATGTAGATATCCGTCGTTTTATCCAGCATTTTCTACTCTTTAAAGAGGTATTTTTGAAATCTAATTTTCATTCAATCTTCTATGATCTGAAAATTGCCTTGTTCAATTTTTTAGAAATTTTTCTCTCATAGTTCATTCATGAAATTTCGGTTTGGAATAGATTTCAACGAGAATTTCATTGACTATTCAAACTACGATTTGAATCTGAACTAAATGCTTAATATCATAGGAAATAAAATCTAAATTACATTGACAGTATAGTTTTGAATAATACTCTAGTCAGCCGTGATTGAAGACGTTGTCTAACACTAAACCAAAATAAAAAGGAAAGCCACAACTTAATCTCACATTTTTCTAGTTATCACACCTGAGTAATAGACTTCTCAAGACGTACTCTAAATATAAAATTTTGCTATTCTCACTTAAGTTCTTTGTCATAGAAATTCTTTTAAATGAAAATTAACTATAACTTCATAGCTCATTAAAAACAATCTCCAACACTACATTGAAATTAAAACTTGTTTATTTCTTTTTTTTCTTACTTC